TTCTTTCTTTCTTTCTTTCTTTCTTTCTTTCTTTCTTTCTTTCTTTCGATGTGCATTGATTGCCACAGGCTTGATGCCATGCCTGACAGAACTGTTTTGACAAAAGAGCATTAGGCTGGGTGGAATTCTCTGCCATCTCATTTTCTGGAGGTATGGGAACCTCCAGATTGAGTGAATGAATGAATGGGTGAATGAATGAATGAGTGAATGAGTGAATGAATGAATGAGTGAATGAGTGAATGAATGAATGAATGAATGAACGAACAAATGATTACAGAGAGTGAATGGTACATGAGAATGCAAAGTTTCAAAGTACTGTTTATTTTAGGTTTGCTGAAAAGTGATTCCATCCCTTCTCAGAACTAGAGGAAAAATATTGGTAACAAAACAAACCTTCTGATGCTTCTACAGGAAGGAAGTCTTCCTGGCCAAAGGGATGGAGAAGGCAGTTTTGTTTTGTTTTACCGAGCTAGTCATTCCAACTTTTAATTTGTTGTTTCTTGTAGTAGTCTGTGTATAAAGCATATTTTGCAATTATACTTTGTAGATGTTTTTCACTATCCATATCAGACAATTAATTATTTAAAAAGTTAATGCTACTGCTGAGATATTCTTTGTCACAGAATAATACCATACAACATAGAGAATAAAGAGGCCCGGTCAATACTTGTACTTCCTCTTCCCTTTTTTAACCACAGTGGTTTGATCAGTTTTCTATTTTCCCTTTGGTTCCACAAGGAAATGAAGAAACGATACAGATCAACATTCGTCAGACTGAAGATTACCCAGTTGATCTCTACTACCTCATGGACCTTTCAGCTTCTATGGATGATGATCTGAAAACCATAAAGGAACTGGGGTCCACCTTGTCCAAAGAAATGTCTAAGCTCACCAGTAACTTTCAGATGGGCTTTGGGTCTTTTGTTGAAAAACCAGTTTTACCATTCATCAATACTCTGAAGGAAGATCTGAAGAATCCTTGCCGGTTGGTAGAAAAGTTCAAACATTTCTTCTGACTCTTTAGAAATATGATTTGAATTTAAGTGAGATATTTCTCCTTGAATGCAGTTTGATGAATTCATTGTTTCAATATAGGAATAGGGGGTTCCTCCCCTCCGCAAGGAGATAGGTCAAGGACTGCTGAAAGTGAGAAGTCACCTCCAGCAGCCCTTTCATTTATGCACATGCAATCAGAACCCACTCACAATCTTATGCACACTTAATAATGCATACTAAATCAACTCTCTTCAAGGCAACACTCTGGACCCACCTTTCATTATCCTTTCCAAATCTTCAAGATTGTAGAAAGCTTTGATGGATCAGATACATCAACCTTATGGGCTCTCCAGTCCTGCTTTAATCATTCTGGTATTTTCCACTCAGGATGGTCTCTAGCCTAGATTTCAGAATCTGGTCTGGATATTAATTATTTATTTCAGTTTGTCCATCAGCTTTTCATTTATGTGAAAGTAGGGATGGTGATTATCTAGATTTCTGGCAATTAAGCTAAGGATGCTATGCTCCTTGAAAGGGCAACTGAGAACTTATCAGATGCAGTACCAGGATATTCCTCCAAGCACTGAGAAACTCCACCAGTGAAATATATTGACGGGGCATTCTAAAGTCTATGAATTAACAAGATTTATTGAATATCTCAACATACTCAAAGCTACAATAGGAATACAAAGCTACAACTGTAGAATTATTCTGGTTCCCACTGATCTCAATAACCAGGAAACTACCATCCACTTTCTGATCTGGCAAGGATAAATGACATATTTGTCAACCACTTAGAGAGGGCTGTAAAGCACTATGAAATATATAAGTATATAAGTATAAGCACTATTGCTATTTTTGATAATAATGGCTTCTCTGCAAGTAATGCTACTCACCAAATGTCCTGTAATTTGCTTTATTTTGGAGCATCGATATGTAATCCGTTGTCCTAGAAATAGTGGGTTCAAAATCCTATCACTCAGTTACACTGTACTGAATTCACATCTTCAAGGAGATATCAATTGTATAAACTATAATCTATCTGAAGATTGTACTGCTTAATACTAAAAAGAATAAAGGACCATATTAATTGCACCTCAATCCTAAAGCTTTTTAATGTGACCTCCATTGTTTTTTATAAGCGCATAAGCATTTTATTTTACAGAAATATTGCATTTGACTGCTTGCCAACATTTGGATACAAGCATGTTCTGTCATTGACAGACAATGCAGAAAGATTCAATGAAATTGTGAAAAAACAGAAAATCAGTGCAAATTTAGATACTCCAGAAGGAGGATTTGATGCAATTATGCAGGCAGCTGTTTGTAAGGTAAAGAAACTATATCTGTGTTTCATGCTGATTTGGGGTAAATGAAGACTGTCTTATTGCTTGCTTTACTTTAGATCAGAACATCCCATGTGAAAGTACCTCACGATATTTGTGAAAAATTTAAAAACCTGGCTGTTCCCCCAACTCTTGGGTTAGAGTGGGTGTTAAGCTCTCTGTAGGATATCATCTGTTTAAAGAATTACCTTTTGAAGATTTTGTGAATTGTGTTTTTACTGTATTCTCTAAAAGCTGTATGCTACCCAAATTCTTAAAGAGTTGTGCAGCCTTGTAAAGCCAATAAGTAATATTCTGAATGGCTGATTATGTATATAATTTATTATACTCTACTTCAAGTACTCAGATAATATGGCTGACCTTAACTGCTCTGCAGTTTCACTGAGGAGTGGTATTTACTACTTCACCTCAGGCAGCAAAATCTTATGGCTTGTCTCTGATAGTTCTTTCGAATACTAATTGTCATCCTTTTATAGAGTAGAGCTTGGCATGTTTTTAATCAAAAGAACAAGATAAATCATATTTCATATTTCTGCATGCGATACCAAAATATTGCATAGATTGCTTTACCTCATACTCCCTGTCATCACTTATTAATGTTTTACTGCAGGAAAAAATTGGCTGGAGAAATGATTCATTACATCTGTTAGTATTTGTGAGTGATGCCGATTCTCATTTTGGGATGGATAGTAAATTAGCAGGAATAGTTATTCCAAATGATGGAAAATGCCACTTGGATCAACAGAATGAATACTCCATGTCAACTGTTTTGGTAATTGTTTTTTTTTATTATTATTATTCAATCCTTTCCCATTCTCCCATTCTTGTACATTTAATTGTATTCGAAATTGCATTTGTATAACTCCATGCATTATGCCTTTTAAAGTATTCTACAATGGATATAGAAAATATAATTTGTACAAGGCCATTTTCAGATGAATTAGAATTTTTTTTTACCACAGAACTGTATTTCATGCAGGGTTTTCATTTGAAAACTATCCTACACACTACTTCAGGAAAATGGAAAGCAATAAAGTCTTTTACCACTACAGCAGAGGTGGTATTCAGCAGGTTCTGACCAGTTCTGGAGAACCAGTAGTGGAAACTTTGAGTAGTTCAGAGTCCCAGCTGATTGGCTGGGTCTTCCTTTGTTGTCCTGCACAGGAAAATGGAACTGGAAAGCAGGTTAGTGGGGTGGGGTGTAGAGGGAATGGAGATTTTGCAGTACCATTCCCCTGCCATGCCCACCAAGCCATACCCATAGAACTGGTAGTAAAAAAATTTGAATCCCACCACTGCACTACAGGAACATTAATTTTGTAAATAAGAGGCATCCCAAATCTAGTTTAAAAAGCATCATCTTGTTATACCAAATTGAGATGGCTTCTCACTCCATTCCTGTATCATGGATTCTTAAAGTTGGGGATGTCCTCATACTGTACTTCTTGCTCTATTTTTATAATTCTTCTGTATAAATTCATTTGCATACAAGCTCCACTACTCAATGATCTTCTTGGGGTTTTAAAGAATGTTTTAAAAACACACTTTATGGCTTGTTGAAGACCCTTCAACGTAAGTCATTCCTTGCTCCAGTGTGGATGCTTATCCAAGTGTGATGAAGGAACTTTTCTTCACACAGCCTTTTTCAATCAGCACCCCAAATTTGTGAAAGTGTGAAAGTGCTGAGTGCAGCCTTTCCCCAATTCTGCCCCCTGGGCTTCATAATTTTGTGTAGCAGATGCAGATGAACTTCAAATGAGGTTCCCTGTCTTTCTATTTACACAGCTGTATTTATTTATTTGTTAAGCTTCCATGTCGCTCCCATCAAAGCCTCTTAATTTCATACTGTATGAAGGTAAATATGTAACACGACAAAAACAACAACAAATAATCAGCAATTTGTTCAGCTTTATCCCACTACAAGGTGCCATTTCCTCAAAAGCAATAATCAGGATTCTATTCCATTTGTATATTCCCACCTACCCACAAAAATCCAATTCTTCATTGCTTTCCAGAAACCGGATAGGGTTGATGGTCATCCTTATCTGCAGATGCTGGCTGTAGAGCAGGGGTGTCCAGACTTGGAAACTTTAAGATGTGAGGACTTCACCTCCCAGAATTCCCCAGCCAGCCATACTAGTCTATTATAGAGAATTGGGCTACTGCCGTGAGGACTTGTTCCCAGGATCCCAGATATTAAAACTCCCTAATAAGAATCTACAGGAAGCCTTGAGATTGCTGTCTTCCTTAATAGAAATTTCAGTATTTTTCCAAAAGGATTAGATTCTGCTTTTCTTAAACATGAGTTTACATTTTTCATAAAGGAAGAATAGCCTTTGTTTAATTCCAGGGCTAGTATCTTTCTTCTAGCAAGGTGAAAGAAGGCATTATGGAGGATCCATGCTTTGATTAACCTACTGTGCCCTCTCTGCACCCAATATGTGAGCCTTTCATCTGACACTGTCCAGGTGCTTACCATGCACCAGTAGGTTATTTCTGAATTGATGTAAAGATCATTTTTCTTTTTTGATTTTCACAGGAATACCCAAGTTTAGGACAATTGATAGAGAAGATTGTGCAAAACAACATTCTGTTAATTTTTGCAGTCACCAAGGAACAAGTTAATTTATATCAGGTAAGATCTCTAAACCTTTTCACATCCTTCTTAGATTGCCCTTTCGAGATGGTCTCTGAGGTGAGGGGACTGAGGTTATTTGAAGTTGCGCCATATTGTTTGTTGCCTGAAGTTCAAGAATTGCTGAACTGAACCTTTGGAAACTCCAAATGATTTGGCAGCACTGGCCACAGCCCTGTCCCAGTTGAGTTGTGGCAAAGGCTGCTATCCTGGTGGATAACTAGATTGAGGAACCAACACCAAGGCTGGTACAGCTCAGCACAACATGGTTTTCTATTTCAGCTAGTGACCCAGCCAGCTTAGACATTGTGGAGGTTTCTATAATATCCCTTGGTGGGGATGCTTGGTTATGACACCCTATCTGGCTCCAGTAGTACATTATTTAATTAGTGCCTGTCTTCTGGTGTCCATCAAAAATTTTGATGGGCTTTTTTTTTTTTACATTGAGGAGAGTACATTGGATTGATGTGGACCCTGCACATTCCTGAACTCCTGAAGTCAGCAGTGTGCTAGTAAATGCTTTAAAAGCAGGTCTGCCAGTTCCATTGCTGCCACTGAGTTGTGCTGCTAGCTGCAGAACAGTTGATTGGCTCAAAGGCATTGTATCATAGCTTTGTTCTCAACTGGCTTGAAAACAGGAGTAGGTGAAAGTCACTGGCAATGGGGAGCTGAAAAAGCAGAGGCAACATTAGCACAAAAACTGTGTTCTGTATTGCTACATTAGCATTCTTGTAACCCCCCATTCTGATTGGCCAGGACGCACTGACTAAGCCGCAGTGATTGGCCCATTGCGAATCTCCCACGATTGGAGGAAACCGATCGCGGGGGATTCAAAATGGTGTCATTGGCGGCGGCTGGCAAGGCAAGTTCAATATAAGCCGCCACCGATCCGAAGAAAGCCGAGCCGATCTCAGAACGAAATAAAAGAGCTTAAAAGGTCACTGAGTCTCACGTCTCCTTTGTGATCGGCGAACATGATAAACTGTGTATTTCAGCCAAAGTTCTTCTTACTTTTTAAAATGTTATACAACACAGAGGGGCATAAAGAGTTGAATGGCCTTCTAAGTCAAATAAATAAATATTGAGATGAAAGGGATGGATGGTAACCAAAAACAAAACAAAACATTCAACGTTCTAATCAGAAATGTTATTAGATTCAGAATCCTAATCTCATTAAAGTAGGATAAATTTAGCACGTATGCAGGTACTAAATCTAATTCCACCCTCAATGTTAGAAAACAAAGTGATATAGCACAAAGCACAAAAACAGCAGGGATTTTATTTTAAAAAGGGAAGTTCTGAACATGACAAAATCCGATTTCATGTTCTTGGGGAACAAACAAAAACACCTGGGAATTCTGACATGACAATAAAAATAACGCAATGTGAAAGTGTTCGTATAATATGGAAGTACAGAGAGATAGCAAAGGATGTAGAATTCTAAAGAAAATGTGATTGTTTGATCAGTGAGTGGTAACTATCTCAAGATTTAAATAATATACGGAGAAAGCCAGAAAGTCCTTATCTAAGAACTTGTCCATCCATTCTCCACCCACCCTCAGCCTTTCATTTCTTGAATGGACTGAATTTCCCTGAACGCCTGAATCATGCCCTGAACGCCTTTCAGATAAAACTGTCAAACCATATATGCCTCATTAATAATGCCATGTGTGGCTTACAGTACATTCCTATCCACATCTGTATGGAAGGAATTCCTGTTGAGGTCAGTGAAACTTCAAGAAAAGCAGATGCAATCTTACAGCCTTAGTTTAATGATGAAACAGAACCACATGTGGCTCCTGGGCAGCTGACCACATGGAGTTGAGAGTTGCGGGGTTTATACCTCCTCTTAGGCTTTGCACTTTAGCTTTCTGTTCCTGTGCAAGAACATGTATTTTATTGACCGTTAACAGATTCCCATGAGGCCATTCAGGGGTTATGTAGGGGTCATAGCTGGCTCTATAGACAAAGTACAAATCCTAGGAGTTTGTCTGAGCTCCCAAGTTTGGTTGAAGTTCTGAGATGATGCAATGGCTGAAATACCCTTAGAAAATTGTGCAATGTAGTGAGCTCTGTGTCCTCTGCTAAATGGTAGTGGGTTAATCCTATTATGTCCTGAAGGATAATCCCATCATCGTGGAGCTAAAGATCTTTTGTTTTGTAAATAGGCTGGCAGTCTTTCTTAATAGGCACAAAATATCTGCTGAGGGGAGCTATTAAGAGTGAGTCTGCTTCCTGTCTCTAAAAAACATGTTCCCCCATTTCTCATTTAGGGAAATATAATATCTTGCCTTTTTAATATTCCTTAAAATATTTCATTCTTTGGGGGGGGCTTCCCACAATAATAGATTTCTACCCTTGTGGGGGTTTTATTGTTATGTAGCAATTTTGCAAATATAGAGGTAGAAGGTTATAAACTGTGAACTTGCTTTGCAAGGAGGGAAATAATTATTATTGATGAAGCATATTTATCAGTATTCAACCAGGGAAAATATTTTATGTGCATGATTGACATTTTTTATACACTTTTTTGTTGTTATCTACTCTCTTTTTCCTTTTTTAAATTTTATTTTGTATTTTAACTTTGGAAATAAATATGTATCAGGTAAAAATATCAGAGTTGGTCCCTTCATTTATTGGTACTTTTTTTTTTACCATCTATCAGGTGACCTTATACATTTGATTTCTTTTTCCTGAGGGAAGGTTATAATTCTGTTTTGCAGCAATATGCAGATCTTATTCCTGGAGCTACTGTTGGAACACTACAGCATGATTCTGGAAATGTTCTTCAATTGATTGTAGATGCATATAAGGTATGTAAAATGAACAAAAGTTGCCTTATCGGAAAAATCGGTGACATATAAATTAAATAAATAAAATAATACTCTAAGTAAATTTTCATATTTTTGTAATTTGATGGAAAGAAATTAATTTGGTCATCGCATTCTTCTCTCTCTGAAATATTGGTTATGTCCAATGTTTCATTAGCAAATAAAAAACTCAGACAAACTCATAGAAACTATAAAATATAGATTACAAGCATAAATCACTATGGCTCGTTTCAGGGATTATGGTTGGAAAAAAAAGAGACTCCTTTCTCAGCATATGTGATTTTAGCCAGAAGCTCCACTAACACAGTTTTATTTGCACAGCAATAAGTTTCTAATGCTCTTTCTACACTACACATTTCTCTTATGACTGCTTCAGCCCAGTCTTTTTAAAAATATGTTTTAGACCAGTTGGTTGAAAGCAGAAGAAAACAAATCCAGGCTGAATATTAGGAAGGATTTCCTGATGGTATGAGTTGTTAAATACGGGTGTTTCAAAAATGTCAGAGAGACTGGCTGAATTTTTTTCTGCTTTTCTTTGGGATATACTGTACCAATCTGAGGGTGGTCTGGCAGTTTGTGGAACTTTTTTCTTTTCTTTTGTTTTCTTTTTTCTTTTTTTTTTTGAGCTCGTGGTTTGGATGTGGTCTGGCCCTGAAACACTATCAACTACTTTATATTTTAGAAGATTTACTTCCAAAAAATTGTTGGACCATCCTAGAACAACCAGAACAGTATAATCTGGAAGCAAAATTGAATCTCCTCTTTCTCAGAATGTTCTATTTCCAAAATGATACATTTTACATCCCTCGTATTAAGTAATAGAACAGACTATACAGAGCAAAGGTTGACTCTTTATCTTACAGAACTGAACCAAATTCAGTTAAATGAATTCATTTTCATAGGCCAATTCTATGGCTATTGATAGTAAAAAAATCATAATTTCAACGGAGTTTTCCATCACTATGTGAAAGGGAGGGGAGAGGAATGATTCATGAAGCCACAACCCAAGTTGGCAAATCATTGTTAATACATCAGGCAATCATCCATTCTTAATGGACTAAGTAATTCCCCCCCACTTCACCAAGTTTCATATTTTAAAGCTATTAAAAAATATGGTGACACTCCCCCACCAACATAACAATAATGTCACATTATGCCTCATTTTCTAAAAATGCATTCATAATTGTCCTTTGCACTCAAAAAGAGAATTCACTTAAAGTTCTTCAAGTGATTAGGGGGTTCCATTTTAAAATTGCTCCAATGATGGAAGCATTTTAAAATTGTGGCAGAAATTCAAAAGGTTATTATTCACAGATGCGTTGACCTTTCAAATAAGCACAGGAGGGAAGTCTGAATTGTCAAAATATTTGTTGTGTGGTCTTCTCATATCCCCTTCCAATCTGAGTCATAGGTTTTAGCAAGCATATAGGTGCATGCCTTGAGAAATAAAAAAAAAATTGTAAAGAATACTAATCAAGTGTTTGATGTCCTTAAACTATTCCAAGCTTACCCTATATAAAATACAGACTGGTAGAAAATCAAGTTATTAAAAAGAGCAAGACTGCTACTCCAACATTTCTTTTTACTAAGCAGTTAATATTCAAAAGTATGCCAACGCATTCTACTTCTGCTTTGTTGAATAAATCAGAATTGGTGACATTCACACAAAGTACACATAAAATATGGTTTACAAAAACAATAAGTTCTCACATGGCCCTTTACCAAACAAGCCATATTTAGGCTTAATACAGTTTGTGAAACCATCCACTTTTTCACATACTTGCATACCTAAGCAGCCTTTCTCAACCTTCTTGCCCTCCAAATGGTAATGCAGCTTGTGCGTAATAGAATTTGTAGTCCAACACATCTGGAGGACATCAAGAAGACTGCTATAAGTATTGTCAGTTTTTCTGAGGTTTATACATTTTAGGATGAATATTGGAGAATATTTTCATTTTCACTGCAGCTATATATGCATATACAGTACTTTATCAGAAGCTATAGACCAGACTATAACAATGGCAACTCATCACTATAAATAAAACTATTTGAAAGAAAAAAAAACCAGAAAATAAAAAGAAAATATGGCTTAAAAACACAAATCACTGAATCCAAAAAAAAACCCTGAATGGTAATAAAATACCTGGAGATGCTTTTAAATTGATTGTTGTCCAAACTATGTGCAGTTGAGCTTCTCTAAGCAGAATCTCTTAGGGTGCCACCTCTGAAAAGACCCTGTCTCCCATAAGCTCCTACTGCTCCATATTTAATAATGATAATTTTAATAATAAATAACATTACATTTATATGCTGCCTGACTGCCAGCAACTTTGAGCTTCCTTTCTTAGAGAAGATCTGGCAGGCCCAATCTTCGGATCTAGGAAGGATGCTATTGGTTATACAATTATAAGGCATTACTTTTCCAGTGACATGGTATTGACTATTGTGTCTTTAAGTCACTCAGGTCTGAGATAGAGCTGGAGGTGCTGGGAGACACAGATGGATTAAAACTTGATCTTACTGCCATCTGCAGCCAGGGCTCTGCCTTTCCACACCAGAAGAAATGCTCTCATATTAAAGTTGGAGAACAGGTAAGTAGATTATGATTTCATCAATGTGGTTTCCCATTGCAAAGTCAATTACAGCTGAGATCCCTGAATGAGATTTGGCATAAACCTGTGACCCGCTGAGCATTGGTAAACTACAACTCCCAGGATTCTTCTCCATTGGCTATCTTGAGCAGGATTGCTAGGCACCAAAGTTCTACAACTTCTGGAGAACTGCAAATTGCCTTCCATCCCAATCTTAATATGGACTCCCAATTGGTATAAATTAGTGGTCAAGAGATATCGAGATATTGAAATACATTGTCACCGAAGCAAGCCATTAGTTGGCAAGCTCAGTGCTTCTTCTATGGCTTGCATTTTTCCTCCTAGAGCTCAAGTCAATATGTGTGATGCTCCTTTCCCCCCTGAGAACATCAACTCTATAAGGGAGGATGGATTAGGTCTGGGACATAGTGACTAGTCCGTAGTCAACCCTTGGGCTTCCATGGTTGAGAACAGGTGAGGGCACGGGGTCCAACTCACGACATCATGTTGTTGTCACGTGACATATCAAGACTTCCCCCTGCCCCCTTTGTTAAACTGGGGGTGGGGGTGGCCAGACCGTGGAGCACCCGGCCTGCGAGTTTGACACCCCTGAGCTAGAGCCCAGTCTCCCCAATCCTGATCTAGTGCCTTTACCATTATACCACATGGATCCCCCTTTATAATGATCATATGATCTGTAAGAAGAAGGAACAGGACAGATTACCTGCTAGTCAGCTGCTCCTTGCAAATCAGCTAGGACATCATGGTGGAGAACAGCCATTTCCCTTTGGATGAAAGGTTTATTTGTGTTTATATGACTAGATTTAGGCACCGCTTGACTCCAAGATAACACTCAGCAGCTCACAATTTAAATCAAACAACAACATAGCAAATATACACCACAGTAGTAAAGAAAAAGGACTGCATGCCTGAACAATAATCTATGTTCACTGAAACACGTTTAACCAGAGCAGCCACACCCACCCTGCCTGGGAGAACAGCCAAGTTTTCAAGGCCTTCTGAAATACTATCAGAGAGGGCTTCTTATGAATCTCTGCTGGTTCTCATTTCAGAGGGCAAGTACCACAACAGAGAAGACTTGCTTGCTAGGTCTTGATAGATAGCATTGTTCAATTAAGGAGACCAGGAGCTGATCAATTCTGCCAGTTCCCACCAGACAGGCAGAAACCATGGGTTTAAAGGATCTCTTCCATGTTAACTTGATAAAAACCTGTCACCGTGCTGCTTTCCCAACAGGGAACATTTGAAAAGCATCCTGGACTGTGAGATTTGGGGGTGCATTAAACAGGTGACCACTGCCTCAATGTTTTGCTTGACTTGGTGGTGCTCATGCACCCAGAAACTTGAGGTGGGACTGTTCTACCTTGATTCGTCTCTTCAAGAAATGTGGTTTCTCTGCATATGCAAAATCCATTTTTCTTGACTAAAATGGAAATTCCCCACTGCTTGGAAATGGGGCAGAGAGATAGTTGGCTTGTAGCTTTGCTTGAAGTTTCATTGAAGCAAAGCAGGAATTCAGTTTGCCTGCATAAGGTCACCTAAATTCAGGACTCTGGTAGCACTATTTATTTACAACCAAGAAATTTTATTAAAAGGCATACATTTTCATGGACTGCACTTCATCATATGCACAAGTCTCCTGTGCCAGACCAACCTGTGGTTTATGTCCATATATTCAAAACCCTTCATACCTTATCCAGAAAGATTCTAATGAAGGTAAATAGGTCCCTGAGTTGATCTCAATTCCTGGAGACCCATCCAGAGGTGGCATTCAGCAGGTTCTGATCAGTTCTGGAGAACCGGTAGTGGAAATTTTGAGTAGTTCGGAGAACCAGCAAATCCCACCTCTGATTGGAGATTTTACACCAATCTTCTCCTGCCACACCCACCAAGCCACGCCCGCAGAACTGGTAGTAAAAAAAATTGAATCCCACCACTGGACGCATCGATGTTATTTTGTTGGGAGCAACACAGGAAGAATTGCCTTCATCCGGCTTCCAACTTCTCGGCTCTGAGATTTTATGCTATAAAACAGTACGTCAAACATATCTACCCTATATATTTCACAAAGTGATGCAGTTAATATTTCCAAGTTAGTTTTCATTTGAATCTTTACTTTGTGCTTTGTATGCTAAAATGATGAAGAGTGTCGTTCACATGGGTGGTTTTTTTTTTTTCTGCTCTCTTCTTTAGGTCACTTTCAATGTGACTTTAAGTTTAAGCCCTTCAGCTTGTGGGGAAAGGAGAAGGAAAGTCCTAATGAAGGCCACTGGTCTAAATGAAGCGTTGGAGATTGAGATCCAGCCCGAATGTAGCTGTCATTGTCAGAAGGAAGCGGAGGTGAATAACTCCAAGTGTAACTATGGGAATGGTTCTTTCGAGTGTGGAGTATGTGTGTGTAACCCTGGCTACATGGGTCCAGACTGTAAATGTAGTGAAAAAGATGCACTGGCTACAGAGTCCTGCAAAAGTTTCCCTGAACAGATCTTGTGCAGCGGAAGAGGCGACTGCTATTGTGGACAATGTATTTGCCATCTTTCAGCATATGGAAATATATATGGGCCATACTGTGAATGTGATGATTTCTCTTGTGGCAGATTCAGAGGGCTGGTCTGTGGAGGTAAGTCTGCTCTAAATTGTATTTTCCTTCTAACTATATAGTAAGGATACAGTAAAGCATTGAAAGTGTGTGTATATATAGGTAGTCCTCAACCTACCACCACAATTGAGCGTGAAATTTCTGTTGCTAAATGTTGCCAAGGGTTTGAATTTTGATCATGTGACCATGGGGGATGCTGCAACAGGTGGGAAAAACATATCATAAGTCACTTTTTCCAGTGTTGTTGTAACTTGGAACAATCACTAAATGAACTTTGTAAGTCAACGACTACCTGTATTATGCACTCAATCTCATGCAATTGTGTGTATTGTGTTGACATGCAGAGGACAGGCTTGATTTAATGGATTTTTTTCAGAGAATGGGAGTTCATGTTTCTGAAAGGCCTGATAATCAGAAAATATATCATTCACACTCATTTATATACATCACTAAACAATTAACCTAATTTGATGTAAGTGTAACCCAATTTAACTGTAAATGTAAATCTCATCTGGACTCCTCCAGATGCATCTTTTTTGGTCATTTGAGGATTTCCAGACACAGATGGAAACTTAGGCTATTCTACCATACAGTCCACTAAATAAAGATTTATTAAATCATTCTGCTAATAAGTGTATGTGTTTGTAGAAGCGCCACTACAAAATTTCTCATTGAATTTCTTTTGCATTATAATACAATTTTTAAAAACTCAAGAAATATACTTCTTCATTTTGCTTTTATACATTTCCAGGTGGATCAGGAGTTCTTATTTTATTGTGCATGAGGTGTAGCAGTCAAATATCTAAACCTTCTAATATACAATGGGTTAATGTTTTTTTTTTCTATTAGAAACCATGAAGTATTGTTTCATTTATATTCTTAAGGAAGCTTTTCTAAATTTAGTCTCCCTTCACCTGCCTGTAAATAAACTGCATAGAAACTAGCAGAACTCATTTCTGGATAAACAGATATAGGAGCTCACATTACAACAAAATAATAATACACCCATATTTCTGTGGAATTGATAGGAATATACTGTCATTACAGTGATTGAACACTGTATTCAAATCTTTTCCAAGGGGAGGAATTAAAATGCAGGAGGGATAAAAGGTCATTGGGAAGAGAATATTAAATGAATTTGTGCACTGCTAAGGAATTTGCAAAATATATTTGGATACGGTAGCTGAATGGAGGATTAAGGATTGAACCTTAATGTCCTCTTTTCTCATAGTACTTTCAAACCCATTACTCTTATGGCACTCTGCTGGTAATGTTACACAACTACACCACAAGAAACAAAATCATTGGTCCAGATTTCTTTTGGAAGATCTGTAGTTCTCTGAAGGTTGGAGTGCTCAATTTCATTATTCTGAATAAGCAGTCATATGAGTTGGTCTGTAAGCTTTGGAAAAGATCTTAGCTAGCACCAAAGACAGATGTACCGCAGGTTGGTAGATGGGCTGAAATATAATTCCCTCTAGAATTGCTAAAATAGCCAATGATGTTTGGAAGGCAAAATATTGTGAAAGACTGTTTCAGTGAGGCAATGAAACATGATGAGTTCTCTGAGTTCTTTTCATTCTGTGACTCAATATCTTAGGAGATCTATCTATCTATCTGTGTGTCTGTCTGTCTGTCTATGTATCTATCACATCTACTTCTCTCTTCTCTCTCATCTCTTTTATCTATCTTCTATCTATCTATCATCTATATCATGTCTTCTATTTTCTATCATGTATTTCTCTATTTCTCTATCTGTCTATATCTCTATCTCTTTATCTATCTATCATCTATCTATCATCTATCTATCTATCTATCTATCTATCTATCATCTATCTATCATCTAATCTATATATCTATCATCTATGTATCTTCTGTCTGTCTATCATCTATTTTATTTATCTACTTACCTTCCTATCTACCTGATAACTTTAATATGTTCCTAGTTGGAAAATTTATTTCCAATTATATATAATAATGCCTTGACACAACATTCTACAGAGGATTGCTAGCAATTTGCAAGAATTAGGAAGGAAAGGCAATGAATAGAAGCATTATTGAAGTAGGGTTGACTTCCATATTTTTTCTTAGGCAATGGGGACTGTGCCTGTGGTCAATGCAGTTGCCACCCTGGCTGGATAGGTGAATACTGTAACTGTACCACGGATACCGAGAGTTGCATTTCTAATGATGGCGTCATCTGCAGTGGGAGAGGCAAATGTGTGTGTGGAAAATGTGTATGCACAAATCCTGGGGTTTCAGGCAATGTCTGTGAAAAATACCCTACATATGATGATCCTTGCAACTCTAAACGGTAAGCTGTTTCTTTGAGTATGGTTCGAAAAGCCTATTCCCCACCCCCCCCACACACATACATAGACATATCTGAATATACAATAGGTTTTCAGAGGAACTGAATACTCTTCAGTGTCTATATTGGTAATTGTATTTTTCCTATTCCATCAAATCCTAATACATTTTGTATTCCTTGCATTATTCTACATGCTCTCTTACCTGAAAATTTAGTATATTTGTTTTTATTTATATCTTTTTATGCCGAGATTTATTTTGTTTCAGTCAGGGTGATTTCACCCTGAAAGGATGCTGTAATCTATAATTTGACAAATTCCAATAAGGTTGGTTATCAGTAGTGCAAATGTCCAGTAATGCATAAGTATTGTTTCAGAAAATGAGAAGGGGTATAAAGCACTACAACCTACCTCCCGAGGACCATATATACCCATTGAAGCCTTGATTGTACAGCAAGTACTAGAGACCTTCCAAATATTGCTGTTAAACTGTAATTTTTAATCTTCCACTCTTTGAATTTCAGCTTTGATACGCTAATCATGTATAATTCTCAGCCTGAAAAATATGGCTGGAGAACAGGGTTTTTTTTGCTTTTTTTCCTCATACTGGGATTGGCTTCCTCTCCCTTTGCAGACTTTCTAATAAGAAACAAAGGCAACCCAAGAAGACCAGGTGCTTGAGGTCAGAGGAGGAGCCTGCCAACCCCTCCTACTTATCTTCCTCCATGAGATCTTCCCTACCTGCTCTTTCTCCAGCAATAGGCAGGTGCCCAGTCACTTAATTCTGAGGACCCTGCAAAGCAGGTTGGGGTGACAAATGGCTGCAAAAGAAGTTCAAAACTTAGACCAAATTAGAAGCCACTCTCTAAGAGACAAGTGGCAGTGAAATGAATGGGGTATATGGGCCAATCTGCTATAGTCTGTGGCCCAAAGCAGACTTCAGAAAGGCTCATTCAGTTGTTGCTTTGTCCCGTGTCACCAGAGGTCTTTTCTCTTTTATAAGATGATGGCATCAGTGTAGGGTATTTTAACCTTCCTCTTTAAGCAGCTCTACAGTATTTTCTTCCTTCAGTTGCTCTTTAAAAACTTCATTTTATTGTTGCTCTGAACTAGGAAAAGGGTTAGTAACAGGGGTTCTGTGGGCGTGGCTTAGGTGGTGGGTGTGTCTCGGTGGTCATGTGACTGGGTGGACATGGGTTGGTGGTCGTGTTATTGGCTGGGTGTGGCCAACTCAATATCACTCACATCGAGGCATGCATCTCTTCCTCTGGCCTCTCATGACTGTGGGGATGCTACAACAGTCGTAAGTGTGAAAAATGGTCATAAGTCACTTTTTTCAGTGCCATTGTAATTTTGAATGGTCACTCCACTCAAGCAAAGTACCAGTAAAGGCGAGGAAAAAAACTCCAGAGACATTCCTGAGACAGGAAGTCTAGTCCTGCCAAGAATGTAATAAGGGTTAATGGAGAGGTAGTTTCTGTAAGCAACACCAGAATGTTTCCTTCCTGCCTTCCTTACAGGATTAGGCCAGTAATTTCTTCTAACAACCGGTTCTCCGAACTGCTTAGAATGTTAACAACCAGTTCGAACTGGTAGAATCCCACCCTAGTAGGTGTGAACTGATAGAATCCCACCCCTGGTTAGTAATAGAGTAAAGTATAGTATAGTATAGTAGAGTAGAGTAGAGTAGAGTAGAGTAGAGTAGAGTAGAGTAGAGTAGAGTAGAGTAGAGTTGAATAGAATAGAATAGAATAGAATAGAATAGAATAGAATAGAATAGAATAGAATAGAATAGAATTCTTTATTGGCCAAGTATGATTAGACACACAAGGAATTTGTCTTGGTGCATATGCTCTCAGTGTACATAAAAGAAAAGATATGTTACTAAAGAATCATAAGGTACAACACTTAATAAATAGTCATAGGGTACAATAAGCAATCAAATCATACTAGGAAACAGTCAATAAAAATCGTAACGATATAAGCAACAAAGTTACAGTCATACAGTCACAAGTGGGAAAGGATGGATGAAAGGAAGGATGGGAAGATTAATAGTAATAGTAGTGCAGACTTTGCAAATAGTTGGACAGTTTTGAGGGAATTATTTGTTTAGCAGAGTGATGGCATTTGGGAGAAAACTATTCTTGTGTCTACTTGTTCTGGTGTGTAGTGCTCTGTAGCGTCGTTTTGAGGTTAGGAGTTGAAACAGTTTATAAATAGTTTCACAGCCCTCTTTTTGACTCATGTTCTCTATGTTAGCAATTTGTTTGCTAGTTACACCCATGATCTAATTGTTATTACTGATTTCCCTTGATCTTTTTCCTCAATGAAGTGTGAGAAACTGAACCTGGGTCCTCCTTGATTCATCGTCAGCTTTCTTATTCTCTGGATACATTTGCAGGAAAGTTTGTACTGTATTTCCAATTTGCCAAAATCAGAATAATTAAAAATCAGGCTGGACCTCTTAAACCTATCTGAACTTTACATTCTCCACCTACAACCAAGCTGTTTTTCCCCTCAAACATCCGGAAGCATGGGAACATTTCCTGATACAATTTCAGATATTTATTTCTGTTCAAGCTGAGAGGAAGTTGCCTGGCAGCTGTTTTATAAATAAATGCAGTTGTTAAATCAAAGCCACAGACAAATTCCAACTACTCATTTTACATCTCAACCATATTGTTAAACACCAGCCAATGCAACTACAATGTTGTAGCTTCGTTTGCAAAATAATGGCAATGCCAGACATCAGGATGTTTTCCAGGAAGGTTACAATCAGCCAGGTTTGTGAGGCACATTTGCTAGTACAGCTGCTGATAGTTTATTTATTTATATATCACATTTAGAAACCTCCCATCTCCCTCACGGAGCGACTCAGGGTGGTATACAAGTGAAACATTGTAGAAGTGAGAGGATTGTGCTGCCCTCTTTGACCTCCAGCTGATACTACTGTTAGTCATGGCTGGGATTGGCTGTGGGAGAAAAACTTTGGCCCATTTTCTGTTCTTTTTATTTTTTTCAACCAGAAAGCTCAGGCTTGGCTCCAGCCCCAGTTTGCTTATTAATTAAACTTCCTGACCAGCCTGTACGAGTGTTGAATCAGTTCAGGGATTTTGATTACTGTTCAAATGATTCAGCTGATTTACACATCTGAAAATCATGTAGTGCACCAATCCATAAAACAGATAAATAGATAGATGATAGATAGATGATAGACAGAGATAAATTTTAACTTCTAAGATATCAAACTTCTTCTTTACTCTGCACCAAAGCCAAATGTGCCGTGGTTATTGGTTTTTTTCTGTTGTGTTCTTATGAAATTGCCTTCTTCTCATCCCCAGCTCATACTGTAGAACAGGGGTGTCAAACTTGATTTAATTGAGGGCCACATCAAGGTTGTGTTTGACCTTGGCGGGGTGGGGGGGTGGCCAGGGGGGGCATAGTTAGCATGATGTCATTTGTGCCGGGGGCGCCCAAGCGCTCTGCCAGCAAAAACAGGCTCCTGAGCTCTGTTTTCAGCTGCAACAGCCTCCTGCAATCCTCTGTCAGCAAAAACAGAGCTCAGCAGGGCCGCCTGTGGCCTTCCCAAACTCCATTTTGACTGACAGAGGCCACGTGAGCCAGTCCTTTGCTGTTTCCAGGGTGGTCCAGATCTAAGCACCCCGCAGTCTTGAGTTTGACACCCTTGCTGTAGAAGGTTAAAATCATTTTAAGCTGTTCCATTTTTAAAATAGTCTTTTCCCTCTTCTACTGAATCTAAATAAAGTCTGGCATGCTTCCTTGACCAATAACTTACTGACACAGCTGTGACTGGTATATAATTTTCTATTAAAGATTTAGACTTCAGTATTAAAAGCTAATACAAACTAAATTAAAGAAAAAACAATAGTACGAAACAAGAAAAGGTGGAAGAAAAAAAGAAAAGAAATACTGTATATAAAGAAGTGACTTAATTAATAGTATAGGCAAATTCAGCAACTCTCCATTCTCTATCTATAAGGTATTACTAACAGGTATTTCTTCACCCCATATCCCATCCCTTATCTATAGAATAAATCCATAAAACATCAACTTTTGAATCCTGGCGTCAGTAAAATGTCTGTAGAGAATCGACAAAACTTTGCAAACAGAGAAAGCCTTACTGTATCCTTTTCAAATAAACCAACTTTACATTCTTTCCATTTACTTTTAACCAACGTAATCATTAGTTCATTCAAATATTGTTGTAGAATTTTATTTCTTTTCAGTTCTTCTTTATCCCATCATACAGACTTCTTCAAGGATTTAATAAGCCTCTTTCTAGATCCAATAAGAAAACATTTTCCAGGTCACCCTCTTTGTTTATCATTTGTATTCTTGCTTTCATTTTCAAAACTTCAGCCAATTTCTTTTATATATCCAATAAAATGTTTTTTTTCGAAATTGTTTTCTTGGTCTGTTATTTATATGTCCACCTTCCGTACTTTGTCCATCTTGTCAAGCAAAATTAGCTCTACATCTGTCATTCCTTCATTACCATCTTTTGGACAGAATTTACCCATTGAATCAGATATCGTTACTGACACTTTTGACACAGTGGTTACTAAATTGGGGCTCCATTCTTCAACAATTTCCTTTGACATTTCCAAAGTTATGACAGTTCATATCATTTGGTAAATCCAAATTAATCAACACAAAGGAAGACTTGCATTTTTCTTCTTCTTCTTAGAATCTCTACTCCCCTCCAGTGTCCAGTTTCTGCACTCATAAAACTTGCTCATCACTGTTATGAGCAAAGATAACCGAAATAATTCTGGTTCCCGTGAGAAGCTTTTTTTTTTTTAATTTGGTGAGCATCCAGAGAGAGAAAAGGAGTAAGGGTTATTTTTACCACCAGAATTTTCTTCCCTTTCCTTTTCTGTGTGGTACATGCTAAATGCTGCGAATTACTTATTCAGTATTGCAGAACTTTCACACGGCACTTTAAAAATGGCGACTGTATATATATTCTCTTTTGATTCTTAATGCAAAGCAGATTGATAAATCATTGCACCATTTTTCTCAGGAGCTGTGTGGAATGTTATCTACTGCATCAGGAAGACTGCGCTGAAAAATGTAAATTGGTTGACGCAGTGATCAGTCACGATGAAGGTCTGTACTTTAATTCATTGCTTGGCTATTGTTAGTTGTAGCAATCAGTTTACTAGGTCTTGCTGCTTGCATGGTGTGTGTGTGTGTGTGTGTGTGTGTGTGTGTGTGTGTGTGTGTGGTGCATACATAGGATATGTGATTATACATATATTTTCAATTGTCCCTCGTGGAACATTTTTCAATAGCATTAAGCTAAAGCTACTCAGGCTCAGGACTGCGATGTTGCATTTGCTTGTCTGTTGATGTTCTGTGATTTATTTGCCATTTATCACAATGAAAGTGAAGATGCAATGGCTACAAGGCTGCCTATTCTCTTCAGTCTGTGTACAAAAGATCTCAAGACTGACAACTGAGGATTTTTTTAAAATTAACTGTGTAGATAAGAAATAAGATAAGGTAAGGTAAGATAAGATTGTGTCCTTCACACCTGAGACAACATAGGAGGAATAGATATCCAAGGATGGATTGCATACTAAATGCAGTTGAATAGTTGAAAAGATAATAAGAATCAGTAACTGTGTTCAGTATACATTTGCATGAATGAAGTACGGTAGTTGCCCTACACTTCCTAATAATCAGTTTGGTCCTGGTTTTTTTCCCCTATCTCTGTGCCATGAACATTCTTGGTTGCAAAGCTGAATTATACTAAAGGGAGACGTTCACAGAAAACTCACTTCAACATGAAAGATGACAAAGAAGTTATTACATCTACTCTGACTTGCTCTTCCTCCCTTCTCAATCTGTCTTTCCTGGCAGATTTTATTTCTACATTTCAAACATTAAATATTTCCTCTCAACGTGCCAGGTTGACCAGAATTCAACTGGGTATTAGTGAGAAAGAAAAAGGAAACAGAGCAAATTGTCATTATTTGTTCTTTTGCTGAGTTTATTGAAATATATTTCCAAGCCTTCTATCTAAACAGTTGAAACTCTCCCACAAAGGAAAAGTCAAAACCAGTACTGTAAGTTGAAGAAGAACAAAATAAATTAATACAAATTAAAAGATGCACAGAATGAAATAAGAATACAGGACAACAGCAGTTTGAAAGAATTTACAAAGGAATGCTTGTCTGTTTAAAAGAATTTAGAGGAGTAAAGAAATCTGCCTCAAAAACACAATACCAAGCCAAAGTATCAGGGCTAGCTACCCCATTGGATTATTCAACTGGGGCACCTAAAAGTCGTCTCAGAAGTTATCTTTGGCATTAGTGTTATATTTCTAGAAAGAGATTCCCGGATAGAAATGCAAAGGAGCTAAACCAGGCAGGGAGGGACATTAACTAGTGAGCCATTATTACACAAGGGGAAATATGAAAAGAGAGTATAGATTTTGAACTCAGGGAAGATGTAAATGTAGGAAGTAGCCTTAATAGACTGAAACTGCCGGCTGCTTTCACTTTCTTGTGTAATAAAAAAGTTCCAATCTATCCATGTTCTGCTGACTTTCTGGGAAGCCTCAGCTAAGTCAGCCTCCCCTCTGGGGAGATGGACATTGCGGCCTTGTATAGGAAGAGGTAAGCCTCCCTATTTATCTGACCACACAGATTGAAAGATCTTCTTGGTTCCAATTCACACGACAGATGCTTTTTTTTTTTTTAAGTAGTCTAGTCTGGTGCCAGCAGCCATAGCAGCCAGCCATTCAGTAAATCTTAATTCAAACACACTGAACTGCTTTAATATCCTGAGGCTACTGTGTTTTATAGTGTACAAAAAGATTCCAGTGATATGTTCCGCCATTGCTTTAAGTTATCTAGTGACAGCCTTCTTAAAAATGGCGTTCCATGATACCTGAAACAGTTGTATATGGAAAGATGTGTTTTATAATATACATCTTTGTTATATTGTATATAATACAATACCTCCAAATTAGATGTTTGTCCACTTTCTTGAGAGATCAATTTAAGGGGCATTTCAAATTACACAATTTAAATTCACCAGTTGTTCTTATACCAGTGATGTCAATGGAGATTCCCAGAGAAATATGACCTTAAGCTGCCAATCAAGAAATATAATTCTCTAAATTATCTAAATGGTGAGGGGAAAAAAGAAAAACTTTTTCTCTGCAATGTGAGGTCATGAGTAACCAGAATGAATACTGAAGGTAACTATAGTGGTTGGTGACAGGCAAGACAATCAAAGTCGCTATATCCACACTTTGCAGACATGAGCTCACTTTTAATTCAGACAGATGCAATAATGTGCAACATCCAAATCAGTCCAACTGCAACTTGAAACTGATTGCCACAAATTGCTAAGAGTGTAGCAAAGCATACTTTCAAAAATGGAAACAACCCAAAATATATACGCATTCTGTTGTGCTGGTATTTAAATATGTTGGGTGTGACAAAAATATTGTTTTTAGAGCCTGAGAATATTTGGAGAAAAGAAAACCACTTGGTGTAAAATAATCTTCTGATGGTTTATATGACCTCCATATCATATTATATACCTATTATAGGATAGTATAAACTATTTAACTGGATCAGCATAATTTATAAACAAAAGAACTAGTGTGAAGAGACCAGCAGCAGCCAAAAAAGCTAATGCAATCCTAAATTGTATTAACAGAGGGATACAATCAAGATCAAGGGAAGTACTAATCCCACTCTATAAAGCCTTAGTAAGACCACACCTAGAATACTGCATCCAGTTTTGTTCACCAGATTATAAAAAAAAGATGTTGAGACTCTAGAAATAGTACAGAGAAGAGCAACCAGGATGATTAGAGGACCGGAGGCTAAAACATACAACAAACGATTGCAGGAACTGGGCTTGGCTAGTCTAGTGAAGAGAAGGACCAGGGGAGACATGATAGCAGTATTCCAATATTTGAGGGGCTGCCACAGGGAGGAAGGGGTCAAGCTATTTTCTAAAGCGCCTGTAGGCCAGACAAGGAATAATGGATGGAAACTGAACAAGGAGAGATTTAACCTGGAAACAAGGAGAAACTTTCTGTCAGTGAGAACAATCAACCAATGGAATGGTTTGCCCTCGGAAGTTGTGGGAGCGCCATCACTTGAGACTTTCAAGAAGAGATTGGACTGCCATTTGTCAGAAATGGTGTATGGTCTCCCGCTTGGGTGGGGAGGTTGGACTAGATGACCTACAAGGTCCCTTCCAACTCTGATTATCTGTTATCTGTTATCCGTTATCAAACAAAAGATAGCATGACATTGCTAAAGCAATGAAGCTACTTCTTCCAGAAAACTGGGGTGTGTATTTGTGTGTGTGTCTTTAGAATAGCTTTTAAAAAGTCCCTTTCCCTAGGGAAATACCTATTTTTCTTTTTTTTTTTAAAGGAGGGGGGAAACAACTATTTTCCACTCACTTTTTCAAAAACACATCCTGCTGGTTTTAAACTTTGAGAAAATGTCTGAACTGTTGATAACTTTGGCGAAAACTTCTTCTGAAAAAAATATGTAATGTAGGTAGACAATGAGAACAATGCCAAATATTTTAAAAATACAGATAAGCTATGGTGCAATGTGAAACTTACAAATCACTTTATTTAGAATGGCTCCCCGTAGAATCCTTTTTCTAACATGGCTATAGATTTCACAGAAACTTTGTTATTATTATTTTGAGTTATATTGATGAGACATGAGAGTCTCTGGTAGTATTGGCCTAGGGGTCTACATTTTCAGATTCCATTCTTATTTATGTTGTCTGCTCCCTCATGCATATTCCACCTTTTTTAAGCCGCTTGAATAAACATTAAAAGGACTGTGTCTGATGAAATTTAGGTGAAAGCATTGATTACCAAACTGGGAATACCTTACATTACTTTTATCTGTGTTACCTTGAAGTGCATGCTTTATTCCTATCACGATTTCTTTTTAGTTATTAGGCATGTGTACATGATGCTAATTATCAGCATTCTGACAGCAATAAATATGGCATTCCTCCTGAAAAGTATTTTCATAATGGACAACCCTGTACACTTAAACATCATGTACTACCGTGGTGGGATTCAAATTTTCTTACTACCGGTTTTGTGGGAGTGGCTTGGTGGGCGTAGCAGGGGAAGGATACTGTAAAATCTTCAGTCAGAAGTGGTATTTGCCGGTTCTCTGAACTACTCAAAATTTCCACTACCGGTTCTCCAGAACTGGTCAGAACCTGCTGAATACCACCTCTGATGTACTAGCAGCAAAAAGATAGAGAGAACATGTTTACTCTAATGAAGATTACAGCTAGTCCTCGATTTACGACCATAATTGAGCTCAAAATTTCTGTAGCTACCTGAGACATTTGTTAAATTAGTTTTATCCCATTTCATGACCTTTCTTGCCACATTTGTTAAGTTGTTAAGTTAGTAAAAAGTTAAGTGAATCTAGCTTACCCATTGAATTTCTTGTCAGAAGGTCACCTAAGGTGATCACATGGCCCAGGGCACTTGCTAACCATGTGCATTTTGATCGTATGACCAAGGGGATGCTGCATTGGTCATTAAGTGTAAACAATGGCCAGAAGTCATTTTTTTCAATGGCGTTGTAACTTTGAATGGTCACTAAATGAACTGTTGTAAATCAAGGGCTACCTGTGTTATATTTCCCTGAAAGCTTTTGCAGCTGCCTTAGAAGCATGTCCAATTCAATAAATTTCCCATACTTGACCAACGTAATGGTCAACACAGATTGGCAACATCTAGACCTTCTCATCTGATCAGTGCAAAGAGTAACCAAAAAAAGAAAAAGAAAACCGCCCTGCTCAAACAGTAGAACAATTATTTGCAAACCCTTTAGTATATTTCCAGCTTTGTTTCTTGGTGCCTGTTAAAAGCAACCTGATGTTAGAAATGGTTTGATCTTCGGAATACCTGCCTGATATGTTTCTCTCTGAACTGTAAAATGGGTTTTTCCTCATCCTCAGATATTACGGAAGATAAATGGGTTCGTTGTGTGTTACACGGGAAAAATGAATCTGTTATCACATTTCTGATGACAGCTAATGAACAGGGAAATGTCATCATTCACAACATAAAGCAAAAAGGTAAGAGACATTTAGTCTTAGTAGACTAAGGAATGTCGGTGTACATATATTTTATGTACACCGACATTCCTTAGCTTACTAACATATATTTTATTTGTTGTTACATCCTCAAACTTTAACCTTTTAAATATATTTAAATATAACATATATTTTATTTTATCCCAAAACTTTAACCTTAAACTGTCTACCGTGGACCTCACTCCATTCCTAAGAGGTCTGTAAGGGGGCGTGCATAAGCGCACCAGCGTGCCTACCGTCCCTGTCCTACTGTTCCCCCTTATTCGTACTCTTTTATTATGTATAAGCTTATACCAGTTTATACTTGTATATTTATATGTTATGTTCATAGTTATACTTGTTTTCTCATACATGCTTGACAAAGTAAACTAAATAAATAAAACTAAATAAATAAATATATCCATTTCTAAAAAGGGCTTTCTGGAAGGGATCTGTGACAACTCACCACAGCCAACTTGCTGCGGGACAACTCGCTGCAGGATATAAGAGGATATAACTTTCGCCAAAGTTACCTACAGTACACTAATATTGAAGAAATGGTGGAATGCAATCATTAAAGAAAGGATGCCAAAGGAGGGACAAAATAAAATGTGAATGACAAAAATTAAAATAAAATTTTAATTATTTTTAGATAATTACATTGAATTGTTGAATTGTGCTGTAGCAAGTTGTCTGTGGCTGCGGCGAGGCAGTTGTTAAGTGAATGTTGGCCCTTTTATGACCTTTCTTGCCACAATTGTTCACTGAATCACAGCAGTTGTTAAGTTGCTAACACAGCTGTAAAGTGAACTTCCCCATGGACTTTGCTTGTCAGCAAGTCACAAAAGGTGATCTCATGACCCTGGGACATGGCAACAGTCATAAATATGAGCCAGTTGCTAGGCATCTCAGTTTTGATCAAATGACCATGGGGATGTTGCAACAGTCAAAAGTGTGAAAAGGGATCATTAGTCACTTTTTTCAGTGCTGTTGTAACTTTGAACAATCACTAAATGAAAGGTTTGTAAGTTGAGGATTACCTGTATGCCTTTCCTGAAAGTTTTTCTACTACAGAATATTAAATATCTGTCCCTATGTTTCATTTAATACTGTTAAGAGGGTTTTAGTGCATAAAGTTCAAGAATGATGAGCAAATTCCATTCTACAATAACTTTCTGCTTAGGGTTCCTAAATTCTAAGCCAAAATATTTTAATAAAAGTGTAAGTGTAAGAGGCAGCTTGCCTCCTAAAGCAGGTCTTTTTGTGTGGCCATTCATAAATACGCAAAATAACGAACATGCTAAGAACATGCTAGCCAATGTTAAGGTATTGTTTGTTCAATGTTTCATTTGTTCTAGATCTCCCAAAGGCTAACACTTACTTTTTAAGTGGTTTACATATAGTTCATCCCTCCCTACATGAACGAGGCAGCTATCATACATGCCAATGCTGTGTGTGTACAGAGGAACACATTGTGATTTGAGCCATCTTTAAATAAAGCCTATACAAAACTGAAAAGTTCACAGCAACTTTTTCTAATCTGACACTTTCCAATTTTTGCCTTCCAACATTTCCAGGATTCTGATCATTAGTAACATTTACCTATACTGCAGGTTTCTTCCTTTTTTCCCCCCAATATTAGTAGCTATTTATTTATTTAACAAGTTTCACTTTTGACGCTTTCTTTCTACAGATTATCCACAACCTCCAAATATTACAACGATTATGTTGGGTGTTTCTACTGCAGTAGTCGTCACTGGGATTGTCTTACTTTCCATGTGGAAATTGTTTATTTCATTTGAAGACCGTAAAGAAGTTGCTAAATTTGAAGCAGAGAGGTCAAAGGCCAAATGGCAAACGGTATGTTAAAAAGAAAAAGATTCAGGGCAACATTGTTGTAAACAGTTGCAAGATAAAAAAATTGCTTCTGTAACCATAGTAGAGCCAGTTTGGTGTAGTGGTGAAAATGCTGGCCTAGGAGACTGTGTGTCATAGACCCATTTAGGCATAAAGATGGCTCTCTCACTCAACCCAACTCACCTTATAGTAATCCAAACCTTAAGACCAACACTAACCTGAACACTAACTCTGATCCAAACCTTAATGTTGCTTTTTGGGCTGTGACATCACGGAAGTCAAAACCTAACCCTAACGCTAATCCCAACTCTAAACCTAATGCCAACGCTAACCCTTACCCTCACTCTAATCCTAACACTAACCACACCTTAACTCTAACCCTAAAGCCAACCCTAACCCTAAAGCCAATGCTAAAGCTAACAGTAACCCTAACAGCAATAATAGTCCTAGCCCAGCCCTAATACCAATGCTAACTTTTACCCTTGTGCCAACCCAAACTATAGCGCCAATACAAAACCTGCCTCTAACCCAAACCCTAATCTTAATTAAAATCCTAACACCAATGCCAACACTGAGATTAATGCCTAGGCCTAACCTAATCCTAAACCTAATGCTAACTGTAAACCTAACCCTAACTCTATTCCTAACACGAATGCCAATGCCAACCCTAACTCTAACCTTAATGTTGGCTTTTGGCTGTCACATCAGGAAGTCTAACCCTAATTTAATATTGGTTTTTGAGGTGGACTTCAATAAACACTAACCCCAACCTTAACCCTAACCTTAATGTCAATGCTAGGGGGAAGAGAGAGAAAGACAGACAGACTGACTTCCCTTAGAAATGGACTTGTCCAGCTGGGAAGTTGGTAGCAGAAGACAGAAGGGACGGGAAGAGGGGGCAATGACTCCTTTATTGCAACAGGACTGGAATCAAAGAAAGAATTATCTGCCCCACTTCTCTCTTACCCCTGAATTTTTGTGTGTGCAGAACCTCTGTTGTGTTTTGTGGCCAACAATGGGTAACCAGGGGTTGCAAGCACAGTTCATTCTTTTTTAAGCCAGCAGAATTTTCTCTCAGGTCCATGCTGAATAGCAGCTTTAGTGTTGCCACACAGCGGAGCCCTTAATATCCAGTAGCCATTGATAAGACCTGGATTTCTATCATCTTTTACAGTCAATCAGAATAGTGGCCAAAGTTTAGTACCAAAATAAATCTAAATTTTGCTTATGTGCTATGCAAAGAAGAATTTCCTTTGTCTCCTTCCTATCTGCTGTAATCACTGCCTACTGTATTGTTATGACAAAGGATGAAAAATATCTCTGTCCATTTTATACCATGCATGATATTATAAACCTAGAATCTGATCTCCCACATTCGATCAATCTTTTTGCCAAGTCTAAGAGTCCCAGGTGATATAATGCCTCCAGCTGGACAGATGCAAGAATGCATTGAAATTATCCCTAAGAAATTAAATCCTCAATTTTTTTGCTATTATATCTGACTCACACTTCACAGACATGTATGATGACTTGCAATACTGTGATAAAACTGCCACATTACATGGCAAAAGTCAGCAATGCTAATGCTGAATACCACCTCTGACATAGATTTTTTTCTATAAAATGAGCATTTATTTTGGATAAACAGGTACTGTAAAAAGTTATTTGTTTTGGAAAATGTTTAGTATAAGTGTATGTGGTCTTTGCCAACAAAGGCCCCAACCACACATGAGAATACATTTCCCACATCTCCAGGTGCATAGCAGAAGGGGCTGAGATTAAACATCCTCCAGGAGCCCAAGGCCATTTTTTCTCCTTTTTAAGTGCTGCTCCATTGGTAGCCTATGTTTCCAGTCCTTTGGGGCAGGTTCAGAGGTGGTATTCAGCAGGTTCTGACCAGTTCTGGAGAACTGGTAGCAGAAATTTTGAGTCGTTCAGAATACCACCTCTAACTGGCCCCTCCCCCATCTATTCTCTGCCTCCCGAGTCCCAGCTGATTGGCGAGGTCTTTTTTGTTGCCCTGTACAGGAGAACAGAGCTGGAAAGCAGGTTAGTGGAGTGGGGGAGAGAATGGGGATTTTACAGCATCCTTCCCCTGGAGTTGGGTGGGAATGAAGATGACACAGTATCCTTCCTCTACCACGCCACCAAGCCACGCCCACAGAACCGGTAGTAAAAAAAAAAATTGAACTCCACTACTGGGCAGGTTGGATTACAGCAGGGGTCTTCAAACTTGACAACTTTAAAACTTGTGGACTTCAACTCCCAGAATTCCTCCTTCAGTCATGTTAGCTCAGGAATTCTGGGAGTTGAAGACCACAAGTCTTAAACTTGCCAAGCTTGAAGACCCTTGGATTATAGGGTTTAGTGATTGTGGTCTAGACAACAGATTTCCTGACATTTTGCCAGCCAGTGGTTTGCTATGCAGACCCCAGACAACTGGCCAGGTATGGACTGGGCTTTTATGTTTGTAGCCAGGTAACTTGGACTGGTTGCTCATCGAACTTCAGGAAATCTGTTATCTAGACCAGCAGCCCCCAATGTTTTGGGCATGAGGGACCGGTTCCGTGGAGAGAGGTTTTTCCACGAACTGGAGGGTGTGTGCGATTTTGTGTACTGCCTGCATCCTGCAGATGGAGCTTTGCTTGTTTGTGCAGCCCTGTAATGCTTAGTAGCTGATTCCCATCACCCCATACCTGTTGCTTCCCAGGCAAATGTGTGAAAACAAGTTTGCCTGGGAAGTTCAAGCACCCACTTTGCTCTTCATTGCATACAGTTTTTAGTGTGAAGAGGCTCGGATTAAGAGTTTGCTGTTTAATTATTGTAATGGAATCACAGGAATAGATATGGTCTAGCTACGTCCATATTACTGTTTGGTTTTAATATGGTAATTTTAAATCAATATTGAGGATTTTGAAGACTGTGAAAGGCTTTTTTAAAAAGCCACACTCATTCAGCAAATTATAAAAGAATTATAAACCCACCCACCCCCAAATCAGTTGATATGTTACGTTTGTTTAATTAGCCCACAAAATCAGGTGTGAAATATTCTGTTACATATAGTGTTTTTCTTTTCTAGGGAACAAATCCCCTCTACAGAGGGTCCACATCAACTTTTAAGAATGTAACATACAAGCAAAAAGAAAGGCAACGTGGCAATCCTGCCAATGCATTCTAATAATTCGAAATTATGAAGAAAACTGTTCTGGAAAACTTTTTTTTTTTTTAAAAAGGAAGTTTGGTCTGTTTTCTTCTAAATTTGTTTGGATGGTTCTAATAAAACTACTACAGTGGTGTGAAAGTTTTAAGGTGAGAGCATATGTGCTTTTAAAAGTTGGACTGTTTTGGAACTAGACAGGGAGCTGAACAGCAGTAGAGGAGATTGAATGACAAGGAACCATCTGGGCATGTAGGAATGCACCAATTAAGCATGACATGAAAATAATATCTGGTGCAATTTTGCTGTAATGAGATTTGGGGATTGGTCTGAATGACCTTTCAAGAAATCCATTTCAAGTATCCCTTCTGATCTTAAAGTAATTCAAGATGTTAGAACAAACCTTCTTCTCAATCTCTGCTGAGGAGTATAGTTCAGCCAGTTTTGTCCCTCCCAGTCAGGATTTTACTGCAAGTTTAAGATATACAGTACCTTTAGAGTATTTGCACCTTAAATATTACCAGATAAAGAAACAGATTTCAGTTTTAAAAGAAAGAAAACTTGGGATAGAAAAGTATTCATGATTTATTAATAAAGTACCCAGCACTGACAGCTGTATTCTTAACCATGGTGCAATATTAGGTATTTTGTTTAGAAGTCCCATGAAGTTAAATGAGACAGTTTCCTATGAAATGTTTTGCCCTTTAGACTAGAGGTTGATGGATTGAGGAGAGCCATGTTGAGTACAGATGAATGAAGGTGGTGGTAAGAGGATTTGTTGCTGGCTAAGAATACAATATGTATGGCCACTAGATTTTTTTTCTTTGGTACTTTTCAGATTTTTCATCGATTTGATTTTTGTATTGTCCAATGGCATCTCTTGGTGAACAGCCATTTTGCCCTTTAAAGCAACCAGAATACATACCATGTATTTTCCAAATTACAACATATCTAATGATCCCAAATGTTGAGGACTTATTAAGGGAGTTGCTTTTTTCCAAATATCTAAATAAGGTTTAATACAGTAGGTCTCAAAGATTTTCTGTGCTGCAAATATGGTTTTTGATAATGCAAATTTTAAATGTTTTTTTTAAAAAAACAGAGAGTATGTGTGTTTTATCCTGAAGAATATGTTTAGTAATGGTGATGGGAGTTTTTATTATGAATGTACTGTGCATTTAAGACACTGGAAAATTATGTTGTTATTTTTTACTGAAATGGTTTTGACCCAAGGCTGGACCTAAAATAAGGTCAAAACATTATCAGTACCGTAATATTATTATTACTCTTTGGAGTCCTTTGGCATTATTTTTTAATATGTAAATAGCACACTTTTTTAAAAATGGAATGCTTATTACATTTTTAGTATGTTGATATGTAAACTGATTCTTTAAATTGTTTTCACATAAATTCTGTGTTATAAAATGAATAAGTAAAAGAAAGTCAAATATGAGCCACAGTGGTGCAGTGATTAGAGTGCAGTACTGCAGGCTACTTCTGCTGATTGCTGGCTGACTGCAATTTGGCAGTACTAATCTCACCAGGCTCAAGGTTGACTCAGCCTTCCATCCTTCCAAGGTGGGTAAAATGAGGACCTAGATTGTTGGGGGCAATATCAGAGGTGGCATTCAGTAGGTTCTGACCAGTTCTGGAGAACCGGTAGCGGAAATTTTGAGTAGTTCGGAGGACCGGCAAATACCACCTCTGACTGGAGATTTTACAGTATCCTTCCCCTGCCACGCCCACCAAACCACACCCACAGAACCGGTAGTAAAAAAAAAATGAATCACACCACTGGGCAATATGCTGACTCTGTAAAGTTTAGACAGGGCTGTAAAGCACTGTGAAGCGGTATATAAGTCTAAGTACTATTGCTATTTTGACTGAGATTGATTTTTACAAACCCTAATATCTACAGACTAGTCTACATTTTATCAATGCATGTTATATGAACCAGCTGGTGTGATTAACTTACAGGTAGTCCTTGACTGCCTGTATGACTATTCATTTAGCAACCATTTGAAGCTACAGTGGCATTGAAAAAAAGTGACTTATGGTTCTTGCACTTAAATTCAGTGCAGTAGTCTCACGGTACTTGAGTGCTATTCAGGCACCTAGCACTTGGCATGTATTTATGAGTGTTGCACTGTCCTGGGTCATGTGATTACTATTTGTGACCTTCCTAGCTGGTTTCTGATGAGCAGTCAATAGGGAAGCCAGCAAAGAATGTCAAAAATCATGATCATGTGAGGTCTTGCTTAACAACTGCAGCATGTTGCTTAACCACTGTGGATAAAAAGGTAAAATCAGGTGCAATCATGTGATCCCTTACATAATGACTGTTAGATCCGGGATCGGGTCACAAAAGAGGCGAGACGCAAGTGAA